TAGGGTTTAGGGTTCAAGGTTTAGGCTCAAAGGGTTTCGGCTTGGGGCTCAGGGCACGTAAAGGCAAACGGGAAAGCTGTAGCAAGTTTAGGGTTTAGGGTTTAGGGTTTAGGGTTCAGGGTTTAGGGAAGGTTCCGGCAAGCAGGAGATACTCTTCGATTGGTCACATGGGAGTGAATTTTTCACATTCCAAACACCCTGGAATGGGAAGTCCGTTCAGCATGACCTGGTGTTTCGCCAAGCATATTCCACCTCATGACCGGAACTCGATTGTACTTAAAGGATCATGGGACTNNACTTAGTAAGTAGGGTTATAATAAGGGTAACTATACCTATAATCCCAATTAGGGACTTATAACCTTACTTACTAAGTCCCAAGATCCTTCAAGTATTCTCCGTCCAAACTCTCATGCCCGGCTCACGCTTCTTCCCCGAGGCTGAAACCCTGCAAACCCTACAGTCAACTTCGCTTCCCATGAAGGAAACAGCGCAGGAAGTTCTGCTCCGTGGGAGCCCACTGAGGTGCGGGAGCTGCAGATCGCTCAAGCGATTCTGAACCTTGGCCGAAGTGCTTGAGTTTGAGGGTTTCGAGTCTTGCGAAACTTTCGCTAGTCTTTATGGCACTCATTGGTGTCCAACTCTGATCCTTGGCCGCTGATTTGTTTTTGGGGCTTCGAAAGCCGTGTGATTTCCTGATCGAAATTGCCAACTGGGACACATGAGGTTTGGAGTTTTCGGACTGCAGCAAGCTTGCAACTGCCAGCACGGGGACGAGGTGCCCAGAGGCCGCCAGAGAAGGCGGCAATCGCCTGGATCATGGCCTCTGGTCGCACGCGACTTTACAGCTCCCAATACAAATCCTAAATCCGCAACTGCCTTAAGTTTTGACGAATATCGTCGTAGGTATCAACAGATATCAAGATTGTTAAAGGTTGGAAATGGACAACATTCAAAACCCCAAACAGAGCAAGCGCAACGCATCTCCTGGCCTCGAGTCCCGGGCTTTCACGGACGATCCATCGCCCACTGGAACAAACGGTGCTGTGGTCTTGCGGTCCAATGCTCAAAATGCTTGATACTGCTACTGTCGCCATTATCTACCTCGCAATGCCTGAGCTGTGGGCAAACTTCGCTGGTTCACAAGTACTAACCGTTACTAACCCTTTACAGACCCGATACCTCTAAAAACACAAAGCGATCACAACTCATGGCGGAAATCATGTTCCGGTAAAGCAACAATGTTTTTTTATCTTGAGCCGGTACTCTCATCACAAGCCACTCTGATTAGTAGTGGCACGAATCAAGGGGGCCAAGGAACGAAGAAGTTCTCTCACAGGGACAGCATGGGACGCATGGCTTATAAGTACAAAGTTTAAGGCCGAAGCAGTCGACTTGGAGAACCATCAAGCTTTAGCGGGTTTTTATTTCCCACGGAGCTTTGCATATTATACCTTCTGCGAAGTGCGCACTGGCAAGCGAGAGTCTGCAGCTCCTATTTTCACACCGCACATGCAAAAGTACTCTGAACTCAGTTTCTGTGAAACATGTCTAAGCAGGCCGTGGCTATGAGCAGGCATGCCTTCTGTGTTGCGTACCGTCTCGGCTTGGGCCGGCTTGAGTCAGCGCGATCAGCAAAAGGTTGCACCCAGGGAGTTCTCACACTCCTTGTTTTAAGTTTGGCTGATCGCCAGCTGCATCCTCTTCTTCCGGCACCAGCTGCTGGATGGTCTCCTCCAGCTTTTGTCGTCGCTGTTGCTGCTTTGCCGTGTCGTCGGACTTCTTTGCAACTTTGCGTCTTGCCCGCTCGGCCTGCTTCTTCTCCTTCAACTTCACGTTGGCGTCGCTCTGGGTGAGGCCAATCATCCCCGTTCTCAGGAACTCCTTCATCACCTCGCGGTCCGCAGCAAACTTGGTGAGCACGTCGCTCATGTTCTGCATGCCGTCTATCCACCGAACGTGTGCGCCCGGTTGGCGCACTGTCTCGCGCAACAATGCGCCCTCTATAGCCATCCTCTTGTCCGAGCTTGTACTCGAGGCGTCCTTCTGAAGGTAGTCGAAGACGGACCTTGCGTCGGTCACGTAGACTCGCTGCCGTTGCTGTATCACTTCCGGCCAGTTCTTCAAATCCACCTTGCCGGTAAGGGCCTCCTCCAGGACCACAATGATCCAGTCGCCGGCCTCCACTGCCTCAGCCAAGTGAGAGGCCTCCGCTGCCAACGTTGATCGGCAGACCCGCTTCGTCTGCCCGGAGTGGAAAGCCAAGATATTGGCTCTCACTTCTTTTCCCTCCAAGATGCCCTTGTTGGCGAGCAGGATGAAGTACCCGCCCACACTGCGGTATCTCATGGTCTCGTCGTGCTCGGGGGTTCCGTTGGCGTGTCCGGCGTCCGAGAGGTGCACTATCACGCTATCCTTCAAAGACACGTCCGACCAAAAACGCATGTGGAAATCGGCTCCTCGGCGGGCTGCTCCGATAAACTGCTTCAGCCGAATCAGGTCGGCTACCCGGGCATCTTGTTTGGCTCGTTGGGCCACGCCGTTCTCGTAAGCCAAGTCGCAGCGCAGCTGTCTTGCCAACCACCCCAGCTCTCCTGCGGAGCTCTGGTAGAGTTCCATCTCCTCCGGGTCCAGTGGCTCCTCGAGGCACTGTCGGCGATCACGCCGCACTGGCACTGGCTTCAGTGACAGGGCGTAGTTCCTCATCATGACATCGATGTGTCCACTGTCGTGCTGCTTCATCTCCCGGCCTCGAAAGATAAAGTCCCGGTAGTGGTTGGTGGCAAACTCTAGGGCGGCCGCGGACTTCTTAAAAGCACGCTCCAGGTAGTTCGGGTTGATCCCGCCCTCGAGGTCGTCGACGTGCGTCACCAGCACGCCTTGCAGTGTTTCCTGCACACGGTAGTAGAAAAGGGCCGGCTCGAGTCGTGACTCCACCCAGCCATCCTCCTGAAGGTGTTCCTTCAGGGCCAGCCAAAACATCCGCGCTGCCTCGGCAAAACCATAAATAGCCTTGCGGGCCTGCAACAGCTGGCCTTCCTGCACGCCAGGCAAACCACCACGAGGTGGCTCCAAGTAGATCTCCCTTGTCATGCTCTTGCCACTGAAGTAAGCATTCTTGATGTCCTTGGCGAAAAGCAGGAACCGCTTATTGGCACATATGGTTAAACAGATGCTCTCGGCGATGGCGCTGGCGGTCGGGGCGTCTCGACGAAACTGTCCCAGGGCACGGTCCTTGAAACCTTGCACCACCAAACGGCTCTTGGCGAGGAAGTCGGTGCCGTAGATGTTATCATTCTTGTTTGTCCTCACCCACCTTGTCGGGATGATGAGGTCGGCCTTGTTCTTGCGAACATCCCGGCTCTGCTCCAAACTGAGCACATCACAGGCTCCCTTGCCCAACCAGGCCTTCCATTCCTTCTCGTCGGAGCCGCCCGGCGCCGTGAAAAGCTTCTGCTGCTCGTGGTTGAGGTCGTTTAGGCGAATCTCTTTGCGACCCTTCTTCGCTTGTCCCGTGGCGAGGGCCTCATACCGCTCATCGAAGCGGTTCCGCTGGCAACTGAAGAGAAAGGTGCTCTCGGGGACGGCGTGCGCGTGGTAGTAGTCGAGGTGCTCCCGGTAGTGGCTGCGGGCCTTGTTCTTGAGGTAGTTCCGGGAGCTCGCGGCCGCAAAGGCGTCGAAGCGCTCGGTCACCATGTTGGCCGTCTCGTCGGGCTGTAGCACTCGTTGTCTCTTCGCCTCCCTCTCGTTGGCCTCCGCCTCGGGGTCGTCCACAATCGGCCGGACTGGAGCCGGCCGTGCCTGGTGGTAGTCGTCCAGGTCCGGGTCGTAGTCGGGAACCTCCAGTGGGGGCACTCCAACAGACTCTGGCTCCTGGTTCATAGGCTCAGGTAGGCTGACCTCGTGGTTCGCAGGGCCGGGCAGGTTGCTGGACCGTGCTTCTCGTTGTGCTCGCCGCTCTCGCTCCTTCCGCACGAAAAACTCTGAGCTTTTTCTCATCCTCAACGCGTCCCGCTCTGAGCTTTGCCTCTCGGCCGAAGTTGTGCTTCCACCTTGGTCGCTTTGGCCGGGCATCTCCTCGTCGGGGCGGTCGGCCCTCTCGGTCGCGTCCTGGCCGTCCTGTGGCTCCGGCCCTTCGGGCGGCTTGGGTGCTTGTCGTAGATCAAGATAGCCGCTTCCACTCGAGGCCGGCAAAGCGTCCACAAGGGAGTGCTCGTTCGCCACCACCATCCATTGGTGAACTTCCTGGTCGTGGGCCAGGCTGAGGTGCTCCGGCGACACGGCAATCAAGATGCCGCGGTGGGAGAGCCAAACCGTACTCTGGCCTTCCTTCCCCACAACTCTTGCAATGCCTCGCCACCACTTGGACCAGGTTGTTTGCTGGCGGCGTCGTGTGGGCCGCACCTGTCTCAGCTCTGCCCGTCGAATGGCCTCGCTGTTGGCGGCCTTCATGAAGCTCTCCCTGGCGGCTGGCGGCCACCCGGATCTGGTTCTTTCGGTGGAAGCGTGTTCCCGGTGTGTCGGCCAGGGCTTGCGCACCAACTCGTCCAACCTCATCTTCGTCTGCCAAAGAGGCCGGCAGCCGGATATCTTTGCCCAAAACCCACTGTGCTGGGCTGAAACCCGACTTGCGAACCAAGGCGTTCTTCGCCTGGTTGGTGGCAGAGGTGGCCCAGAGGATTTCCTCGTGGGAGGAAATCTGCTGTTCCCAGCAAAGCTTCCGCCGTGGCGCTCGATTTGTCCAATCTGCCAGGGGGCAGCCTTTGCAGCCGTGTCAAAGTGACACCCATGCTCGGCGATCTCGTCAGCGAAGTCTGCCAGAAAATATTTCGCTCTGTCCGTGGCCACGCCCCGCTCTGGAAACCCAGCCCAGTCTGTCCACGACGTGGTGAAAGCTCGCAAGACCTCGGCCGAAGTCAGATTGGCGTGGGTCTTCCCGAGCAAGCTGCAGACTTGGAACAGCGTGCCCTGATCGAAGACATTCAACCATGTCCACGTGTAGCCTCTTGCGTCCTTCTCCGAGAAGACGTCGAGGCCGACTTGCGCGTTAAATTCGTCCACTAAGGGCAATTTACTGGGTCGTGGAATCTTTGGCTCCACTAGCCTCGGGCAGTCGGCACATCGAAACAGGCGGCATGCTTTTATAGCGGTTTCGGATGCACGTGAGACCCGCAATGCTCGCAACATCGCTGTCTGAGGCGCATGTCCTAGATTGACGTGCACCCGTCGCACAGCCAGCTTGAGCTCCCTCGGGAGCGCATCCCATTTCCGCTGCCGGCTGGCTTCAACCAGCTCCTGTCTGTTTCCCGGAACGGCCTCCACGATCTGACCGCCCTCGTCGATCTCCTTGCCATACAAGACCAAGTAGAGGCGGCGTCCTTGAGCCACCAAAGGTCGTACTTGCGCGGACGGGGCCATGCTGTTCCAGTCCTCCCAGTCAGTGACCAGTACCTCGTGGCCGTTCAGCAGCAGGAAGGACTTCCGGATTGGCGTGTCCAGCGGCCCGGCGTGTGGCTGTGGCTTCTTCATTCTCCGGGCCGACAGGGAACAAAGGATGAGAGTAACATCGGCTCGGCCAGCCTCTAGTGCTACCCAGGCTCGGCCCAGGTCGCTGTCGGTGCCCAGGCGAAACCAGCCCCCTGCACCACTCTCTCGTAGATGCTCTGCTGTTGCTTCCAACAGATCGAGAACAGGCTCCTCCTCGCATTCCTGCCAAAACCCCCTCTGTAGCTGACGCTGTCGTCGTCCACGATGTAAGGCCCGGTGATCTCGAGGTTCTTGTTGTGGTTCTTGTGGTTCTTCCTCTGCTTGCTCTTGCTCGGAATTTACTGGCACTGCCGACACCTGAGGGTCAAAAGGCAAGGCTTGAGGTGCATCAGGTTCAAAAGGCAACGCTTGTGGTGCATCAGGTTCTGGCATCGATGGCTCGTACTCGCTGCCATCAAAGTCTACATCGTCTAAGGCCCGGTTCTTGTGGTGGTTCTTGTGGTGGTTCTTGTGTGTGTTCTTCCTGTGCTTGCTCTCGCTCGGCACCTCGTAGAAAGAACTCTGTGGTCCCAGTCCACAGGAAATCCATCTTTTGCTCGATTCGGCCATGGTGCCAGGAGTCCTCATGCTCCCGGCGTGTCCCGTCTTGGAGGTTCATTGTCGTTCGGCGGCGGGCTTGTAGTCGATCAAGTGGCACCGGTGGCGCTGTCGTGGAAAGAGGTAGGAAAAGCCTTTGTCGAGGGACTCGGTGGATCCTCAGCAAACGGTCTTGCCCAAGAAATTCCCACTCGTCCTCCCAGGGCTCTTCGTCCGGGCTCTCGTCCTCGTAGTCCTCTTCCATCTCCACGTCGCCGTCCTCGTCCAGGTCTCCCCCGGCATAGGCGTGCTTGCCCTCACTGCTGGCCATGCTCGCCGCATAATCCAGCACCATGGCACCTCGGACTCCTCGGCAGATTGCCCGGCAAAGTCCGGTCGGGAAGCCGGTGCGGGCCAGGGATTCATCACCGTGTCTCCCGTGTCCGCATTGGCATCGGCGCCCAAGCTGATTCAGAAGGACCTCGCAGTTGGATAGCCATCCGGTGGTTCGTTGGACGGGCTGTTGGCTACGCGGTTCCCGGGCGCCGTAGGCACACAAATCTCCCAAAACAAACTTGCCGCCTGCCGTCTTGAGCGTCTTGGCCAGGATGCGGTCAAAGATCCAGGCAAACTTGGCCGGGGGACCCTCTAGGAGGAAGTAACGTCCACGGCGGTGCTGTTCATAACAAAGCCTCGTGGCGTATTGGGCGATGCGACGCCCCAGCTTCGTCCCCTCGACCTTTGCTTTGCCCGGCCCGGCGGCTGCTGACCAAAGGCTGCCGTCGAAGGGCACAACCAGGAGGAACGGCCGGTGCTCCGCAATGACCTCCATCACTGCGCCCTGGCCCTTCGGGGACAAAACCTCGAAACCGTCAAGGGGCAACGGCCGGCTCGGTGCAAGTCCAACTGAACTCCTTTGCCGCTATGGTCGTGACCGGCGCCTTGTTGAGAAAGGGCTCGAAGAGGACGGTGTCCTGGAAGTCTCGGGTGCTCCACTGCTCGGCCAAGGAAAAGTCCCGGCGTAGAGCGGCCCAGCTGCGCATGTCCTCGGCCGCCTGCTGTCGGCACTTCTTCGCCAGCTCCTTTGCGCGCCGGTCGGTCAACTGGGCAATTCGGTCGCCCTTGCAGATGCCACGTGGGCCCAGGTCAGGACTCTCCCGGGTCCCCCTCTCAAACTTCACGGCGCGAAGCTCATGTCATGTAGCACCGGAAGCTCGCCTTCTCCCATGTAGTAGACGATGAGGTCTTCCGTGGTGATGTCGGGGTCCTCCTTGCTGCTCTTTGGCTGGGCTAGAGGCCGCTCTGGGTCAAAGGCAACTGACAGGGCAATGTGCTTAGTCGCGGTGTGCGCCAGGATCATCTCGATGCCCAGCGCCTCGATCTTCACCTTGTTGCCGCCCAGGTCAATGATCATGCCCAGGGCCCTTATCGTGGGGAGTGAGAGAAGTAGAGGCGTGCCGCCCTGCTGCAGTTCAGCTGAAAAGATCTCGCCGTAGATATTCTCAAAGTACACCGGCACCTTCCACACAGCAAGCTGGCTCTCGGACTGGCCGTTGGCGAAGTGAAAGTTCTTGCTCTGGCTCGTCCGGCTGCAGCTGATTTTCTCTGGGAGCCATCGTTCATAAGCTTGCCGCCATCGTCTCGAATGGAGGCAGGAGGTGCACGCGGTGTCCAGGAGGCTAAGCTTAGACTCGTCCAAATTGGAGTCGTGTCCCTCATCGGGTCGTGGTGCACTTGCAGCAAGGGCTTGCGAAAACTTCAAAAGCGGCGGTTTGAAAGCGAATTCGAACTCAAACTCATTGGGCTCATGTTCGGCCTCTGAATTCTCCAGGCCATGCATCCCTCGTCATCGAGGGGGGTACTCGTGTTCCCGTGGCGGCTGTCATCCTCGGCGCCCTCGGCCCAGCGCCTTGCGGTAGAGCTCCAAACCCTCAGGCAGGTCCAAGGTGCACCGGCAGTCCTTGGCATTGGAAAAGTTGAGGCATCCGAAGAAGTAGCCGGTCTTGTCCCGCCGCTGCCTAAGCACCAGAGGGCACTTGCAAACCACACAGACAATTTGGGGAACACTCTCTCCCACAGCCATCTCCTTAGGGATCTCCAGGCCCGACCGGGGGCACACAATCTTCGCCGTCTTGCTGTCATAAGTGGCCCCCGGGCTCGCCGTGGTGCTCCGCCGCGTAACTTCGAAATATGCGGCATGGGTCCTTCACGGGGCCCGTGCTATAGCCGTGGCTGGTCTCCTTCTTGGGGCCGTTGTTGCGGCCCGCGCGGCTGGTCTCCTTCTCGGGGCTGTCGCCGTGATGTCCTCGAAGCCCGGCTGGGATCAAGGAGCCCTTGTGCTCCTCGAACCGGACCATTTTCTTGCTGCACCCTCGCTTCGGCACAGCCTCGCCCTTGTAAAGGCGCCGCAGTCGTCGAAGGATCTCCGTCTTGCTGCCGCTGACCTGCACACCCCAGCGGTCACAGTCACCCTGCAAGTCGCGCAGGATCATCTCGTCCAGCCCGGCCGGCATAGCCGCAGCGAAGCTCATCACCTTAATGGTCTCGATGTCCTTGGCCTTCACCGGCACGACGACCTGCTGCTCCTCGTCCGAGCTCCCGGCCGTCTCGGTGGGCATGGCGACCAAGGGGCCGCCCTCGAACTTGAAAGGCGGCTCGGCACCAAGGAGCTCCCATTCACTCGTGGCTGCGCTGCTGCTGGCGGCACCCTTTCGGTTGGGCCGGCGCCGCTTTCCATCCAGCTCCGTCTCGCCATCGTCCTGCTCCATCTCCCCGTCGCTCTCGGCAAGGATCATGTCGCAGAAGCCGTCCTCGTCCCCGTCGTTCAGGCTGAAGTAGAGCGGGGCCTCGCTCACCAGGAACGCCTTGCCCTTGTGCCCGCCGCGGCCCTTGCCCTTCTTCGGGCTGCCGCCCTTCCTGCTCGGGCTGTGTCCTCCTTTGGCACAGGCGGCGTCTCCCGCCCAGTGCCCCAAGCGGCCGCAGGCACCGCAGCGTGTTCTGGCCTTCTCCTTGGCGATGGCTTGCCCCGCTCGTCTAGGCCGCCCGGTTCGGAACGCGGCTTCAGGAAACCACGTGCCTTCTGAACCTCCTTCAGTTTCCTTCGGCTTTCTTGGTAGGAGGAGAAGGCCTCGTAGACATCATCGTCCTCGCTCGCTCCGGCATCTGACGGGTCCTCTTGCTCAGGTTCCTCCTCGTCCCCGGCGGCAAAGGCCTCGTCCGTGTAATCGGGCTCGGCGTCCTCGTTCACCTCGTCGTGGTCATAGTCGTTCTCGCCATCGAGCACGGCGTGGGCGTAGTGAGGCCTCCGGGCTCCCTTTCCAGAAGCCCCTCTTTGGAACCGTCGGTTCCCCTGCCACTCCCTCGGCGGGCCTTTCTCCTTCTCGTGGTAGTCGTAGTAAGACACCCGAAGTGCCTTCTCAATGGCCTCCACCGAGTAGTTGGACTGGCAAGCTTCTCGCAGTAAGTGTCAAATGCCTCCGTGGCCTTGATCACGGAGACCTTCTCGATCTGCTGCAGGCAGGCGAAGACCTTCTTGTACCCGTCGGGGGCCTTCAAAGACTCCGGGTCGGCAACAAGGTCTTGACAAGACCTCCAGGCTTCACCGTGGAGCCCGTCGATCAGTTTCTTGGCGAAACGGCTCTGCTTCTTCTTCAGGGAGCGCTTCTCTTTCTCCTCGTCATCTCCGCTTCCTTCCAGGCTCTGGTAAGCAAAGAGAACGCGCTTCCTGTACTCTCGCATGAGGCCCGGCTGTGCCCCCGTATAGTGGGGGATTCCATCCTTGTCCACCACTATCTCGTCGTCTCGCCAGAAGCCCTTGGCACTGGTCTCCGACGCCATGGGGCACAGGGTAGCCGGCTCCGCTACCAGTGCGAAGTGCGCACTGGCAAGCGAGA